CACCATCACCACCGTAGCACCACCATCTTCATCGGCCAACACCTCAAAATTCCTCAAGAATAAAATAGAGAAATCAAAATGCAAATCCCCTATATAAGCTTCACCCTTGAATATGCCAAGAACACCATCAAAAACACTTGCCCTCTTACGGGAGAATTGAACTCCTCCCAACTTGATATCAAAGCTCTTACCTTCTCCATTCAACTAGCTTGGTTTAATCTAGGAGCTACTTCTTGAGGGAGGTAACATTATCTTTGTGTTCTTCATCTTCTTAGTCCTCCTTTTCTTTCTTCCTCTAAAAACCCTATTTTCTTTTGAAGGTTTTTCTTTCTTCGGCCAAACACTCTTAATAGGTAAGAAATCTCGAATTTCTTGCTGCAATCGAAGGGTATCATAGTATGGAAAATGATTTTTGAAACTACTTAAAAGATTTCCTCACTTTTCGAAAAATTAGGGCTTTTTGTGTAAAATCCGAAATTTTGGGTTAATCTTAATATTTGTGTTATTGCATGTTTAATCCATGTTATAATCTGTGAATCTAAGCATTTTGTGTTTAAAGATTTAATATTTCGAATTTTTGGGAATTTTGGAGAAAGAAAATGAGTTTTCAAGATTTTTTGGGTTGCATGTGTAGATCTATGAATCTTTAGGACTAATCTGCAATTTCTTAAGATTTCGGCAAGAAAAATGTTTTCATCTTTAAAATCTCAGTAGGAAAAAAATGGAATTTAATTATTTGTTATTTGGCCTTAGTTTAGAATTAGTATTTGTTGGGGAAAATCATTTTTGGCTTCAACACTACTTGCCGAGTATTTTAATTTTGAAAATTCCGATTTTTGAGAAAATTGAAAAATTCTTTTTGCATCTGTTAATTTAGTCAGATATGCAGCCTATAATTAAATTTGAGAATTTTTGGATGCCATTTGCTATTATTTCGAAATATTGCTTGTGCATGTGTCATAAATAGAATTCTTGTGTGCTAATCATTATGCCTTGTGTATTAATTGTGGGAAGGTGAATTAATGGTTAAAAATCTGCAGCTGAAATGTGTTAAAGAGGCTGTAAGAATGTTGATTCATTAAATGAATAAAAGGGGGAGAAATCCCATAAATGAAAAGGTTGGAATGTTGGTGTTTTAAGAGCATGGTTTGCTAATTTAATGCTAACTAAATCATGTTTGGGGGCTGCATGCATGTGTGTATGTGTGTGCCGTGTGTTTGTGTGTGTTGTGTGTGTGTGTGTGTGTGTTTTATATAAATGCATAATATGATAATGAAGTGAACTATGTGATATGCTTAAATGACTATATGATATATGTGTATGATATGTGTGTGATTGCCGTATGTATGTAAGTATTATGTGGATACTTGAATTTTATTTGTATGCTCGTTGATTGATATTTGTGATGTCGTAAAGTGGTCATTTTGTATTAGAGTCTCATTCGTCTCATGGTCTTGCATAAAAAGAGATTTCATTCTTACGAAAGGAAAAGTTAATGGAATGCTTGGGCTACATAAGTCGGGATACGGGGGGCCGGTATTCCAACCATAGTTACTATAGATAAAGGGGTGGTTTGATTCCACCAAAAGAACGGGCTCAGAATAATATGCTTATCATCCAAGTAAAGAAGTTAATTTTTCACGGATCCGAACAACAGAAAATGTTTTCATTCATGCATTGCACGAAAAGGGTAATTTGGTAATTTTCAGCAATTGAGTCGATTTATGTGATTTACATGTTTAAATGAAATTACGTGATTGTTTGGGTTTGTTTGCCGACGAATGGTAAGGTGTGATGCTTATGTGTATATACTAATATAAGTACGTAAAACCATATTTTAAAACCTCGTTATCCATTCGGATTTCTTACTGGGCTTAATAGCTCATATAGATACTTCTTTGATTGCAGGTAGTAGTAGGAATCCCTCCACGGAATGGACCGAGTAGTGGATCGGAGTCTTGGCCGGAGGTTTTTGGGTGGTCGTACGAGGGGTCTATAAACTATGCTTATTTTATTTTGGTGATGTAAACTATAAACCATTTCCGTATTTCCGTTTAACTTAAACTCTAATATTTCCTCGTTAAGGGAATTAAACTCCTACCCTAGTACGGGCCTTATTTTGATATTAATATAGTTGGTCCGATTATTTTGATAATTGCATTTCTTACCCGGAAATCCCTATTCACCAAATAGCCTTAAACTCTGATTTCTTTTCGAACCAAAAGTGAAACCTATAGTTAGATAAATGTAGCACTCGAATAATAATCTCCCTTTCCAAAGTTATTTTGAAACGAAAAATTTAAACGACCAAAATCACCCTAAGAAGTTTTCGAAATTCTTAAGGTTCCTAAAGAGTTTTCATATGTCCCAAAAAGATATTTTTATAAATTGCCTTTTGATCCTACTCGAAAGTTTTAAAATTTACAAAGAGATCCCTTTTTGCTTCCGCTATCTAAAGTTTTCCGATAAACCGGTTCGATTTATCGCCCGACCCGAGGGGGGTGCTACACATCATACTATCTTATTATCTATTTCATTATATTAATACGTCTTAAAGACGATGTTGGGGGACACCTTAACACCAACATATATTCCTAAGTCTTGAGAATTCCTTTAGCGAAATAAATATAATTTAGCTAGAAGTTTTAAATTAGCCGGTTTTAATTTAGGTAAATATCACTTAACCCCATGTGGTTACAAGATTTTACAGATGACCCTCTTGTACTTGTAATATCAGCACATGGTTGATGGGGGTAGCTACCGTTAGTTTTTCCGTCAAACTTAACCGCATGTGTCAAACGTCAAAGTTTTTTTTTTTTTTGTCGATGACCCCTTTTTCTTTCATTTTTCCTTTTATTTTCGCAGATGACCCCCTTGAAGTTTGACACACTCGGCTAAGTTTGACGGAAAAACTAATGGAAGCTACCCATAAACTACAAGGGGGTTATGTGCTGATATTACGAGCACAAGGGGGTCATATGCATAAGCTTGTAATCACAGGGGGTTTAATTTTATTAACATGTTTTGCTTGGATTCCTTTAAAGCGGAATAAATCTAATCTAGCAAGTTACATTTTTTGTGAGCAGATTTGTTCTATCTTTAGTATAAAAATGTTGAGTGTATATTTTACACTCAATGTATACTTTCTTACGAGGATTGTTGTATACTTTTATTGATTTAATGGTTCTTAATGAGTGGTTTATTGTATTTTAGGTACAATTGAAGATTTGGGAGTTCTAAGGATCAAACGAGCGAAAAAAGGTCAAAAACGGGCAAAAACGGAAGAAAACATTCGGAGGCTGAACATTGGCCTGGCGCGGCCGCGCGAGATTTATCCTATTTCTGGCGCAGCCGTGCCAACTGCAGAATTTGGGCAGAAAGTTTCGGCGATTCTCGCACGGCCGTGTGAGAATTGTACTGATTCTCGTGCGGCCGTGTGAAAACACGCTGGAAGCAATTTTGGACTTTTAATCACACAAGGAAACCTAATTCTTCTACCAAGTTGAGGCATCTATTTAAGGGTAAAGACCAAGCACGAATTGGGGACTTTTGGAACACAATCTTAGAGGAAGAGGAGCGAGAGAATGGAGAAACGAAGACGAAGACCTGACGGATATTCATCATAATTCTTCTTTCATCTATCTTTTCTAAATCTATGACTTTTATTACTTTTATTATGTTTTCCGTAGAGAACATGTGTAGCTACGTTTTTAATCTAGGATTTTGTTGGAACCCTATGTGGGGATGGTGAACCCGTTTTTTTGAGATTATGCAATTATGATTTTATGATTATTTCTTCTACTTGTTATGATTGTTAGTGCATGAACCTGATCAATTTATGTGCTTTATCTGTGATTATTGGGATTGACTCGACAGAGCTATTTTGATAACTAGACATTAAGTAAAAGAACCTTCGAGTAGTTTTCACCGTATTAGTGTATTAGTTGCATGTGGTATCGTAGACATACATATATTCACCTTAGGTAATCATTGTTGAGACTTATGCATTAATGCTTTATTCATGATCGGATTGCATAGACATATAGTAATTTGGTTTTGGATAATAGAATTATGACACACGCGACAGCGGGTTATAATTAATATAGTGTCTCAGGTTAATAATCACGAATCATATATTTCATAATTAAGGGGTTTTGGGTGAGCAATTCTTGCATAGGGGGAAGATAAAATCCTAGGTCCGTTTTTATTGATACTTTCTCGTGTTTATTTGCTTTTAGAATTAGTTTAATTATTTAGTTGATTATATTTGACAACTTTGCGTAGACTGTATAAAAAATTCATAATTGTTAGAATTTGGTACTTAGGATTAGATAATTTGAGTATTCCCTGTGGGATCGACATCCGACTCTCACGAGTCCACTTTTACTACTTGTTTGCGATACGTGCACTTGCGTGTTAGGTATTTAGCCCAACAACGAACGAGTTGTCCCTTTGGAGTTTGGATGAGAGAGATATGCTCGAAATAGTTGACACCACCAAAGATGTTGCGAGATTCCTTCTACGAATTTGATTTTATTTTGTTATTTGCAACAATTGTTTTTCTTTTCGATCAATTTTCCTTCATGCACACCTAATTCTCGTTTTTCACCTATAAAACACAAAATCAACCTATTCAATCACAAATACAGTTAAATACAAACAAAAAAGTCCATGTAAGGTAAACGTATTGAGTGTAAAATCTACACTCAAAATACCCCCAAATTTGAACTTTTGCTTGTTCTCAAACAAAGACTAACAACTTGCAAAACAACAAATTGAACTAATGCATCTCATAACATAGATTAATGGCCAACTTTCGTGTTTTCAGAACTTGCAAT